TGATTTAAATAACAATAAACTGGAAATTCTATGGTTTGAAGTGCTGCTTCCCAAGACCAAACCCATCTTAGTAGGAACTAGTTGCCGCTCTCCTACCCAGGACCAGTTCTTAGAAGACTTTTCCAGTCTTGTCCGGAGTTGAAAACAATTGCGAGACAATAATACTGGGCGACTTCAATATCTGTTTTCAGCAGCAAAATAACGGGCTATGCAAAAGGTATAAGCAAATTCTAGGATTAAATAGCTACACTCAACTAATTAATACACCAACCCGGATCACACAGTTCTCAGCCACCCTAATTGACCACATACTTTGTAACCGCTCTGAGAACATTAGTCAGTCAGGCGTCATTACCACAGGTCTTAGTGATCATTTCATCATTTACTGCACCAGGAAAATCACTAGGGATAGGATAGGCCTACACAGGACAATAAAAATGAGGTCAACTAGAAACTACAGTAAAGAAACACTGGTAAATAGGCTACACAATTGTGACTGGACAGAGATAACAAGTTGCACGGACGTAAACGATGCCTGGGAAAAATTCAAAACAATGTTCACTACCATCCTTGATAATATTGCACCAGTTAAAGAGGTTAGAATTAAACGAAGAACTGAACCCTGGATGACTACTGAGATATTAGATAATATGAAACTCAGAGACCAGCTGCTAAAAAGATTTAAGCAAACAGACAGGATATTGCAGCACTAAATGAATTCCAAAGGGTGAGGAACAGAGTACAGAGACTTATAAAAGGAGCAAAGGCAAAGCACTATTGCTCAAATATTGAAGAGTATAAGCATAACCCCAGAAAGCTCTGGCAACAACTAAAACAGTTGGGGTATAGCCATAAGCCAGTAGATAGGTCTAACATAGTACTCACTATCGTAATGAGGTATGCCACGAAACATCTAAGGTGGCAAATTGCTTTAATTCATACTACACATCTGTTTGCATCAACACTAGTAAGTAAACTACCAGCTGCATCAAATACCTTTAAACACAGACTCTGATAAGTTTCAAACATACTATACCAATAAAGGGGTAACCCCAAACAGTTTTCAACTAGTAAGTGTATCTCATGACTTCATTCAAAAAGAACTAAGCAGGTTAAACCCAACTAAGAGCACAGGCCCTGATAACATCCCGTCTAAGTTCCTAAAAGATCGTGCTTCTGAACTGTCAATCCCTATTGCTCACATAATAAATCTATCAATCACCACTAATACCGTACCGGAGGGGTTCAAGGAGGCCAGAGTTACTCCTATCTTCAAGAAAAATAATAGGTCTGATGTAAGCAACTATAGGCCTGTTAGTATACTCAGTATAATATCTAAAATTCTGGAGAGGGCGGTGTATTCTCAAGTAGTTAAGTACCTTAATGACAACAGCATTCTCCATAGCAATCAATCGGGCTTTAGAAGATCCTACTCAACCGACACCTCCCTTATTAATCTGATGGATTACCTGAGAACTGAAATGTCAAAGGGGAACCTCATAGGTATGGTAACCTTAGACCTGCAAAGGCCTTCGATACTGTCAACCACAATATATTATGTAAGAAACTTCAAGCTATCGGTATAGGTTCTGTAGACTGGTTTAAATCCTACCTTAGCAACAGGAGACAAATAGTCAAAATCAACAAAACGGAATCAGAACCCTGCCGATAACATGTGGAGTTCCCCAAGGTAGTATTCTGGGTCCCTTATTATTCTTATGTTATGTCAATGATATGCCTATCAGTGTCAAGTGCAAACTCCTACTGTATGCAGATGACAGTGCTCTGTTAGTGACAGGTAAAGAACCCCCAAGATATTGCTAATGTTTTAACACTGGAACTGGAGTCCTGCAGCAAATGGTTTTGTAGACACAAACTATCATTACACCCAGGGAAAACTGAAGCCATTCTCTTTGGCACGAAACATAAAACTGAGAAGGGTAAATAATTTTAATATTCAGTGGGAATGGGGGGGCCCATCACTTGGTTTCATCAGTAAAATATCTGGGAATCCCCTTTGACCCATGCATGTTAGGAGAATTGATAGGGAACAGTGTAGTAAAAAAAAGCGAATGCCAGACTGAAGTTCCTGTATAGACAAGCACAGTGTCTACCTACTGAGGCTCGCAGGACCTATGTCTAGCCCTTATTCAATGCCATAGGGGTTACGCTTGCTCTTCATGGTACTTCCTGCCTTGACAAAAAAACTGAAAGATAGACTGCAAATCACCCAGAACAAAATCGTAAGATTCATCCTGGGGCTGGGACCAAGAGAACATGTAGGCCAGGATGAATTACAGCAGTTGGATATGCTGAATGTTGAAGACAGGTAAAAGAAAATGAAGCTAAATCATGTTTATAAAATTGCTCACAAACAATGTCCAGAAAATCTTGCTGTCAATTTTGTCAAGGTTTGGGGGCCCAAAACAAACATAGTACTAGGGGGAGAGAGCACAACTTTGTAGTACCCACAGTCATTGGCCAGGCTTCAAACACCTTTTATTTTACAGCAATAAAGGAAAAGGAACAGACTGCCTGCACATGTCAAAGCCAGTCATAGCATGAACCAGTTCAAGAGAGTGCCAAAAGGTTTTCTGATGAATGTAGCTACAGAAAGGGAGGGGAATGATTTTCTATTTTTTAGCTAACATACGTGTAAATTTTACCTTATTCCTAGTAATGACCCTCGAATTGTAGATAGTCTTAATGACCCTCGTGTAGTAGATAGTCTTTTTAGTATAATAATAAGATGTTATCTTCATTGTAGAATAATAAGAAAATATTATAACCTTTATATTATAATAATAAGGTAAAAGGACCCCAATGGAAATAAGTCACTCTCTCTGACTTATTGGGTTATCCCAGGTTCTCTACACATATGCTGCTATGTATGATAATTCTATGTAACTGTATTTGTGTATACCTGAATAAACTTACTTACTTACTTAATCTCCACTGCCTCAAGCCGCCTCCTCACTGCAGCATTTGCAACCCATGGTTCGCACCCATATAAGAGTGTTGGTACCACTATACACTTTCATACATTCCCTTCTTTGCCTCCATAGATAACGTTTTTTTGTCTCCACATATACCTCAACGCACCACTCACCTTTTTTCCTTCATCAATTCTATGGTTAACCTCATCCTTCATAAATCCATCAGCTGACTCATCAACATCCAAATATCTGAAAACATTCACTCTTTCGATACTCCCTCTCTCCAATGTGATATCCATTTTTTCTTTATCTAAATATTTTGTTATATATATATATATAATATATATATATATATATATATATATATATATATATATATATATATATATATATATATATATATATTCTTTCTTTCTTTCAACACACCGGCCATATCCCACCGAGGCGGGGTGGCCCAAAAGGAAAAACGAAAGCTTCTCCTTTTACATTTAGTAATATATACAGGAGAAGGGGTTACCAGCCCCTTGCTCCCGGCAGTTTAGTCGCCTCTTACAACACGCATGGCTTACGGAGGAAGAATTCTGTTCCACTTCCCCATGGAGGTAAGAGGAAATAAACACGAACAAGAACTAGAAAGTAAATAGAAGAAAACCCAAAGGGGTGTGCATATATATGCTTGTACATGTATGTGTAGTGTGACCTAAGTGTAAGTAGAAGTAGTAAGACATACCTGAAATCTTGCATGTGTATGAGACAGAAAAAAAAGACACCAGCAATCCTACCATCATGTAAAACAATTACAGGCTTCAGTTTCACACTCACTTGGCAGGACGGTAGTACCTCCCTGGGTGGTTGCTGTCTACCAACCTACTACCTATATATATATATATATATATATATATATATATATATATATATATATATACTACCTATATATATATATACAAGAAAAACTTTCATCATTCACTCCATCACTGTCTTGCCAGAAGCATGCCTACACTACAGTTTTTAAACTGCAACATTAACACCCCTCCTTCAGAGTGCAGACACTGAACTTCACATCTCCCGGACTCAAGTCCGGCCTCCCAGTTTCCCTGAATCCCTTCATAAATGTTACTTTTCAACACTCCAACAGCACGTCAAGAATTAAAAACCATTTGTCTCCATTCACTCCTATCAAATACGCTCACGCATGCTTGCTGGAAGTCCAAGCCCATTACACACAAAACCTCTTTTACCCCCTCCCTCCAACCTTTCCTTGGCCGACCCCTAACCCGCCTTCCCTCCACTACGGATTTATACACTCTCGAAGTCATTCTGTTTCGTTCCATTCTTTCTACATGTCCAAACCACCTCAGCAACCCCTCCTCAGCCCTCTGAATAATAGTTTTGGTAATCCCACACCTCCTCCTAATTTTCAAACTATGAATTCTCTGCATTATATTCACACCACACATTGCCCTCAGACATGACATCTCCACTGCCTCCAGCCTTCTCCTTGTTGCAACATTCACCACCCATGCTTCACACCCATATAGGAGTGAAGCATATATATATATATATATAATATATATATATATATATATATATATATATATATATATATATATATATATATATATACATACATACATACAGGAGAAGGGGTTACTAGCTCCTTTCTCCCGGCATTTTAGTCACCTCTTACGACATGCAAGGCTTATAGATATATATAAACACTTATAACAATCAGAAGATTGTTCTGAGGTTTGAACTGCTGGTATGTCAGGGAACTGCCTACACTCAGGTAATTGTACTGAAATCAAAGATAACTTTACCAACCTGGTAAGTATCATGAGCAAGTAGAAAAATATAATAAACATCTTGAGACAAATTATGGTGAACCTCAACATATTTTAAGATGTAGAAAATATGCGACATATCAAGGCTACACAAGTTATTCCAAGCGTTACATTGAAAAAAGTCACTTGTTGGCGAAACATCTCCATCAACAAAATTATTATAATCAACATGTTGGTATTACTATTAATATAATGATCTTGTGTGAGGTAGTGAGCATCTTACCTTGGCACTGTTTTTCTGTAGAGATTGTATGGACTGGAATATAGAACCTTTCTTTCTCTTTAACCTGCGGAAATAAGAGAAAATTATTGCAGAAACAAGAAATGGCATTAGCTTATAAATTCACAATTACTCTTCTCTAAGTTAATTAAACATCTCTAAGTTACTTATTTCTTAAAAAAAAAGTTTGGGATGCAATGCTCTGAATCATTTTTTTTAAATGAGTAAAATTATCATATTTGCAAAAAGCGCGAAACCCGAATGGGTCGCTAAGCGTTGTTATTATGGATCAAAGCCACGGCCACTCTAGGGGTCAGAATCTTGTGATAAACTTTTGTGCTTTCTGTAACTTATTATATTTCCGGCCAATACCATGCAACAAACTCTGTGATTGGTTGTGATTCACAAACAGGTGCAACCATAGGTAGGGAAACGTGTAAACATCAAAACGTTGATCAATCGTTGCAAGTTGCAGGAATGGTTGTGCACTTCCCTGGGCCTCCCTACTAGCACTCTCATTAACTGTTCTCACGGGAGAGAGAGAGAGGGGGGGGGGACAGATGAGCAACGGAAATATACTGTACATTATTTAGCCTCAAGTGTCTGGTGCTTGTAGAATACACTTTTTTTTGTAAGCACATGTATAGGGAAATGTAAAAGCACACGTATTTAACAATGATTCATCGTCTGGGAAACAAAAAAAAAATACTGATCACAATATTTAGGATCGCACTACAACCAGAGCAACATAAAATGTATGGGAAGGGAAGAATCTTCTTCCCCAGTAAGTACGGGATAAAATACTGTATTCTTGGGTGCTGGAGGGAACAGTAAGTGTATACAAGGACACCTTACGTTCTCTTGAAGTCTTCTTCACCGACAAGTAACTACTACCTTAGACAATAAGGTGTAAGGGTAAGCCATGGGAAGTTCTTGGCCAAATGACTACAAGCTATACTGAGTGTGCAGTGGAAGCAAGACCTGAGTCAGGAGAATATTTCTCATATCTCCCTATAACCACCATACCTCCAACATATGTAAACATCATGTGATGTCTGTGTAACATGAGCTCTCAACATGTAACTCACTTATCAGTCCATGTAATTATTATTATAACATAGAAAAGCAGCTAACTGATCATAACTGCTCCTTAAGTATTATGATAACTTCACAAAAACAACACTAACTCCTCTATCACTCATACTGAAACGCAGTTTCCAGACAAAACTTCCTCCAAGGCCATCATTAACTCGCATAAACCCAATACAATACGTTATTAAGATGCTTCAAGCTAACTAAATAATATTACATAAATTCAGATGCTCTGGAGTGAGTTATCAAATAAAACAAATTGTATATACGTACAATCTTTCTTTAAAACATCCATTATCAAACGTTTTAAAAGATCTCTTATTAAATATTTCAAAGCAACATTCATCAGTTAAAATACCTGCAGTCATCACAATGATTTGTTAGTAAAAGTGTCGAGAATTTTTTAACGTTAAAGTTGCTGACAAGAGTGAAGCACAGTTATATCACGGTGGAGTGACACTTAGCACATCCCTTCCACTGCAGCACCGTGACAGCAGCAGCACCACACAGCATCATAACAGCAGCATGATACTGCATCATAACAGCAGCATGATACAGCATCATAACAGCAGCATGATACAGCATCATAACAGCAGCACCATACTGCATCATAACAGTAGCATGATACAGCATCATAACAGCAGCATGATACAGCATCATAACAGCAGCATGATACAGCATCATAACAGCAGCACCATACTGCATCATAACAGCAGCATGATACAGCATCATAACAGCAGCATGATACAGCATCATAACAGCAGCATGATACAGCATCATAACAGCAGCACCATACTGCATCATAACAGCAGCATGATACTGCATCATAACAGCAGCATAATACAGCATCATAACAGCAGTATGATACAGCATCATAACAGCAGCACCATACTGCATCATAACAGTAGCATGATACAGCATCATAACAGCAGCATGATACAGCATCATAACAGCAGCATGATACAGCATCATAACAGCAGCAAGATACTGCATCATAACAGCAGCATGATACAGCATCATAGCAGCACCATACTGCATCATAACAGCAGCATGATACAGCATCATAACAGCAGCATGATACAGCATCATAACAGCAGCACCATACTGCATCATAACAGCAGCATGATACAGCATCACAACAGCAGCATGATACAGCATCATAACAGCAGCATGATACAGCATCATAACAGCAGCATGATACAGCATCATAACAGCAGCACCATACTGCATCATAACAGCAGCACCATACTGCATCATAACAGCAGCATGATACAGCATCATAACAGCAGCAAGATGCAGCATCATAACAGCAGCATGATACAGCATAATAAAAGCAGCATGATACAGCATCATAACAGCAGCATGATACAGCATCATAACAGCAGCATGATACAGCATCATAACAGCAGCATGACACAGCATCATAGCAGCACGATACAGCATCATAACAGCAGTATGATACAGCATCATAACAGCAAAACGATACTTCACAGCAGGAGCATGATACAGCATCATAACAGCAAGATACAGCATCTTAACAGCAGTATGACACAGCATCATAACAGCAGCACGATACAGCATCATAGCAGAACGATACAGCATCTTAACAGCACCAAGACGCAGCATCATAACAGCAGCACGATACAGCATCACAACAGCAGCATGACACAGCATCATAGCAGCACGATACATCACAACAGCAGCATGACACAGCATCATAACAGCAGCACGATACAGCATCATAACAGCAGCACGATACAGCATCATAGCAGCATGACACAGGACGATACAGCATCATAACAGCAAGATGCAGCATCATAACAGCAGAACGATACAGCATCATAGCAGCAGCAAGATACAGCATCATAACAGCATGATACAGCATCAGAACAGCAGAATGATACAGCATCATAACAGCAGCATGATACAGCATCATAGCAGCACGATACAGCATAACAGCAAGATACAGCATCATAACAGCATGATACAGCATCATAACAACAGCATGATACAGCATCATAACAGCATGATACAGCATCATAACAGCAAGATACAGCATCACAACAGCAGCACGATACAGCATCATAACAGCATGATACAGCATCAAAGCAGCAAGATACAGCATACCAGCAGCATGATACAGCATCATAACAACAGCATGATACAGCATCATAGAAGCACGATACAGCATCATAACAGCAGCAAGATAAAGCATCATAACAGCAGCATGATACAGCATCATAACAGCAGAACGATACAGCATCATAACAGCACGATACAGTATCATAACAGCAGCACGATACAGTTCATAACAGCAGCACGATACAGCATCATAGCAGCAGCATGATACAGTATAACAGCACGATACAGTATCATAGCAGCACGATACTGCATCATAATAACAGCACGATACAGCATCATAACAACAGCACGATACAGCATCATAACAGCAGAATGACACAGCATCTTAACATCAGTACGATACAGCATCATACCAGCAGCACAATGAAGCATCATACGAGCAGCACAATGCAGCATCATACCAGCAGTACAATGCAGCATCATACCAGCCGCACAATGCAGCAACATACTACCATCAGCACAATGCAGCATCATACCAGCCGCACGATGAAGCATCATACCGTCAGCACAATGCAGCATCATACCAGTCGTACAATGCAGCATCATACCAGCAGCACAATGCAGCATCACACCAACAGCACAATTCAACATCGCACCAGCAGCACAATGCAGCATCACACCAGCAGCACAATGCAGCATCACACCAGCAGCACAATGCAGCATCATACCAGTATCACGCCAGCATAACAATGCAGCATCATACCAGCATCACAATGCATCATCATACCAGCAGCACAATGCAGCATCATTCCAGCAGCACAATGCAGCATCACGCCAGCAGCACAATGCAGTATCATACCAACATCACAATGCAGCATCATACCAGCATCACAATGCAGCATCATACCAGCAGCATAATGCAGCATCATACCAGCAGCACAATGCAGCATGATACCAGCATCACAATGCAGCATCATACCAGCAGCACAATGCAGCATCATACCAGCAGCACAATGCAGCATCATACCAGCAGCACAATGCAGCGTCACACCAGCAGCACAATGCAGCATCATACCAGCACCACAATGCAGCATCACGCCAGCAGCACAATGCAGTATCATACCAGCATCACAATGCAGCATCACGCCAGCAGCACAATGCAGCATCACGCCAGCAGCACAATGCAGCATCACGCCAGCATCATACCAGCATCACAATGCAGCATCATACCAGCATCACAATGCAGCATCACGCCAGCATCACAATGCAGCATCACGCCAGCAGCACAATGTAGCATCACGCCAGCAGCACAATGCAGCATTATACCAGCAGCACAATGCAGCATCTTACCAGCATCACAATGCAGCATCACGCCAGCATCACAATGCAGCATCACGCCAGCAGCACAATGCAGCATCACGCCAGCATCACAATGCAGCATCACGCCAGCAGCACAATGCAGCATCACGCCAGCAGCACAATGCAGCATCACGCCAGCATCACAATGCAGCATCACACCGGCAGCACAATGCAGCAGCACAATGCAGCATCATACCAGCAGCACAATGCAGCATCATACCAGCAGTACAATGCAGCATCACAATGCAGCATCATACCAGCAGTACAATGCAGCATCATACCAGCATCACAATGCAGCATCACGCCAGCAGCACAATGCAGCATCATACCAGCAGCACAATGCAGCATCACGCCAGCATCACAATGCAGCATCACGCCAGCAGCACAATGCAGCATCACGCCAGCAGCACAATGCAGCATCATACCAGCAGCACAATGCAGCATCACACGCAGCAGTAAACAAATGCAGCATCACCAACGCAGCACAATGCAGCATCACGCCAGCAGCACAATGCAGCATCATACCAGCAGCAC